TGTCCTCGGCGGTTCTGTTGTGCGCTGCCGTCGGTGTAGACTCTGAGGACATGTTCCTGCCCCCCAGTGTCCTGGAGATGGTCGTCCAAGGGGCTTTTGATCCTGAAAAACGAGGTGGTGTAGGGTTCTTCGACCGGAACATGTCGGGTAGGGAGCAGGGAGAACCTGTCTTCATTCTGGACAAGTTGACATCCGAAAAGATCGACCTGTTCAGGAGGCCCCTTGTAGAACACAGAAGGGTCGGCGTCATGCACACATGCCCAGTCCTGCGAGAAGGCTTTCCAAACGTCTCTATCAGATGCTCCATCTATCCAAGAGTTCGGGGGGGATTTGTGGTGTCTAGCGAGAAACTTTTCCCATGCAAGTTGCAAGAACCTCGACGTGTTCGCCCACTTACCTGGCAGGCGTTTGTGCCAATCACGATTTGCGAAGTACCATGAGGGCCCCCGCACTTGCAGCATCAGTGCTATAGGTATACATTCGGTAGTCCCATAGCGTGCCGCGTGGCCCCAATAGCCGAAAAATTGGCGGGAATGCTCGCCTGGCCATGCGCGATGGCCGACTTGTTGGGCCGCTAAGCGGGCGGCCCTTCGTCTTGCCACCCAACTCTCTACCGCTCCCTGGAACGGATCTCGTGTAAATCGCAGCATCGCTGTAAGAAACGATGTATGGATTGTGCGCAGGTACCTGTGGATGGTGCTAAGGGGGCGTATGGCTGGGCTGAGCCACCTCCAGCGGGCCGTAATGAAGCAATCGAAGACTCTGAGTCTCTTCGTAAGTCCAACCTCGGTACGTCGAAGGATGCTGTAGTACGCCCAGAAGGCGTTGGAAACCTTGGTCATGCGGGCCTGCAGGATCATGAGGCAGGTGAGTTGGAATCCCATCAAGATTCCAAGAAACAAAAAGGTCGACTCATACTGCACCTCTCCTGCAGAGAGATGAAGAGGTTCTTCTGGGAAGCCAGGTGTTTGCAGGTACTTGCACTTTTTGGGGTTGAACCGGAGGCCAATTGCTTGAAGCGTAGCTTCGCTATCGGCCAAGAGGCGTTGTGCCTGGGCTCGAGAAGTAGCCAATAAGACTAGATCGTCAGCAAAAGGAGTCAGAAAAAGCTTGCGCCCGCTGGGGTCCTTCAGCCAGGAATCCTCGGTGTCCTGCCACTTACTGTTAGTCGGTGTTAGGAAGTAGTCAATACATCGCGCGAAGAGTTCTGCACTATAGCTACTGCCCTGCAAAATGCCCTGGCGTAGTGCTTGGACCCATGAGGTGCCCTGGAGGCCAAGTTCCACTTGACTACCGCAAACAATCTGAAGGAGTAACTCAGCCTCGCGAGAGCCTTGGGCAGTGGCAAGGAGGGTAGCGACAGCTTCATGGGACAGCGAGTCAAACGCCGCCGCCACATCTAATTTTACTATCACGAGCGGTTTCCCGTACTCCTCCGCAAGCCTGATCGCGTGCTGAACCGCACACGCGGCATCGAGTGTCTGTCTTTTAGGTAGGCCACCAACCTGAAAAGCCTGCATCCGAGGCAAGCATGGACGCAAGCGAAGCATCAATGCTTTCGTAAATACCTTGGCAGTGGTACTGGAGAGAACAATGGGCCTGAGGTCACTGGGTGCCGAGGGAGTTGATGTCTTCGGAAGGAAGCAGACATGGCTAGTCAACCAGCTGGCAGGGGGGGGGCAAAGCCCCCGCAACACACTGTTGAACATGTCGAGAATGTGGTGACTGAGGTCGGACTGCAACAACATCTGGAGGGCCTCATATGAAACCCCGTCCGCTCCCGTGCTCTTGTTGTGCTTGCACTGGAAGGCAACGTCTTGGATCTCCTGCAGACTAAAGGGGGTCGGGTCCATAATGGGTCCTGCCCTGTGATGGAACATAGCCATGGGCAAGCCTGAGGGCGAGGGTTCCATGGGGGTGTACTTCTTCTGATAGAAGAAGCGCAGGTCACTGATTGCCTTGACTTTTCCTCCTGCGCGCATGCAGTAAGACCCTTGCACAAACATGGTAGACTGTCTTTTGCGGAAGTATGCTGCTGCTCTGAAGTCCCCTGCTGCACTCTGTTCCAGTAGGCCGGTTAGCCATTCTCGCTTATCTGTTTTGCGTTTGTCCGCAATGCACTTAGCCATCTGTTGAGCTTCTTTGCCTCGGAGGCTCTTGCGAGCCTTGATCATGTCCTTGATGGCCGGTGAGTCCTTGTACCTACAGCTGGTGATTCGCCTCGAAGTAGCCCCGCAGAGGTCCTCAAGATCCTTCATGCTGAGGTCCTTCATCTGCAGATCCAGGGTCTCTGCAAGCTTTTCGGCTCGTGTTTGCAGTGCTGGACCGTCTGTCCACCACTTCCCACACTTAGACGGCTTATAGGAGGCTCGGCCTGTGCTACTTTGGGAGTTCATGGCTACACTAACGGCACAGTGGTCTGACCCAAGCACGTCGTCCGATCCAACAACTACACGATCGTCCCTATACTCGAGAGATGGCATGGCAAACAAGATGAAATCGATCCTCGAAGCAGACCCTGTGGTATTTCGCCAGGTAGGACTTGACGGTCTGGTATGTTGGAGTCCTAAGGTGCGTAGAAGCTGACCAAGAGGCACTCCTCTCTCGTCCACATTAACAATGTCTAGCACATCATAATTAAGGTCACAACACAAGCAAATGGTATCGTGGTATCGACGCTTGTCGCAAAAATGCAAGATTTCTTCTGTTTGTTGTTGCCAAACGGGCAAGTGGTCCTTCCGGAGCGAGTGGGGCATGTGAATTGATGCCAGAAACTTTCGGGTTCCTTGGTCTCGTATTACGATCCCTATCCCTGTGCAAAAGGCCTTCGTCTTTTCGACCTGGCCAAGCCAACTAGTAGGTATGCCGAGGGCAGACCCTCGCCACGAGTGCGAGGGGTCGCAAAAGAAGAACGTGTAGGACTGTCCTGCTAGCATAACCTCATGGTGCAAAACTGAGTCGTGGGTAGGGCATTTTTGCGGCAATGACCCCACCTCTTGCAAGCCAATTACATGGGTGCCTTGAAAACCAAGTACGTCCCAAGTGCGGGCAACGTCCTCTAGACCTTTCCCGCGCAAATTCCAAGAAAGAGCATGCACATCCACTCTTGTCCTCTTCGCTTGGGGGGTCTTGAGTCAAGCACGAGCTCCTGCAGGGGAGCTGCTTGGCCCAAAGTCCTGCCAGAGCTGCTGCAGCGATTCCTTGTCGCGGCCTGTAATCTTGGCAAATGCCTCTGCACACAGAAACCATACTGTATGGTTACCCTTCACGTCTTCTATGATTTGGTCGTATGCTGCCGGTTCGTGTCCGTCATCCATGTTCTTGAGGGTTCTGACCTGCCCTACGAAAAGTTGACCTCTCCAGACTATCTCCGGGTCAGGCCACCGCGGCATGTTGTCGCTCTGGAGAGGGATAGCATTATAGAAGTTTTTTGCTAGTACGATGGCGCGGATTCTGAGCCTCTCTTCGATGGAACGGTCTCGTTGTATCCATAAGTTGCTGTCTTCCTGTCCCACGATACCGCTTTTGGCTTTCAGGGACTTGAGCTTGTTAAGGATCCGGGTTTGGTATTCCCGTTTTTTGCCCAGTTCGGTGATCCCCAAGCCTTGATAGTCCAAAGCAACTCGCAGAAAGTTCGTACGACCAGAAGGACCCGAGAAGTCCAGGATGGCCCCTTCGAAGCCTGCTTCTGTAAACATGTTTTGAACCTCTCTCTCAGCTTCTGCAACCCTGGCGTCGGTCCAGCCTCCAATTACAAGGCCTAGGTCCTGGGCAGGGTCCCGCATGATGTCTGAAGGAGGTCCTCCTCTGGGACTGCGCGGGCTGATGTTCCCTGCTCGTGATCCTCGTGGCGTGTCTGGAGCTCCCCGGGGGGGAGTTAGGGACCTTGCGCGGCGTTCGAGGTCACTTATGGCTTTCTCAAGAGCGGTAAGACGGGTGTCGGTAGTGTCATGGCGGCCGGTGTGTTCCTTGGTGGCTGTCTCGAGTGTTTGGATTCTGACGTCATGTTGACCTACAACACTACCTAAATCCAGGCAGTAACGGTGTGTTTGATCACTCTTCATGTGCAACCCTTTAAGACTCTCGGTGATATCCTGAAGCCAAGGGGGAGGCGCTGGGGTACTATCGGTCAAAGTGGCAAAGGGTCTCCCTGCTTCCGCGGAACCATTGCCTGAGCCTGCTGCCTGTCCTGGTGGTTGCTCCGGCAGCTTGCTGGTGTTGAGCTCGTCGTCGTCGGGTTGATTGTCTCCTGAAGTAAGGTCATAGACCTCGTGGGGCCCGAACGCTGCACTATGATCGAGCCTGAGGAAGGGGTGTGCTGAGGTAGGAGCAGGACTTACTGCGGCAGCGATTTCAGGCATTTCCGAGTCAGGTTGAGTGTCTGCCTGTTCTTTGGCCTCGATTTTGATTTTCTTAAGGTCAGGGGACCGTCGGGACCCGGGATCAGAGCTGGGGGGTCGATTAGACTCCTGACGAGGTTGGTTCTCGAGGACATTATGGTGGCTTGAGATGACAGGGCCGACTCTAGGCAGCTGTGTTCGATCGGTACCTCGATTGGTTCGTTCGATCTTATCGTTCCCACGGCTACGCTCTCGCCCTCGTCCTCGCTCGCTCTGTTCAGTTGGTTCGTTACGAGACATGTCGTCGTAGGAGCGGTCCTGAAAGAAAGTGAGAAGGAAAGGGCAGTCAGTGCAAGGGAAGGGCAGTCAGTGCGCAAGGAAGGGCAGGCAGTGCAAGGAGGAACAGTGCAGAGAGAGAGAGAGGGAGGGAAACAGTAGAAGGCGACTGGGAGGCGCGGGGAAGTAGGAGGACTGACGAACGGTCTCTGGGTATCTGTCGCTGCTACGATAGAGTCTCGAGCCCAAACTTGAGCCAAAATGGCTACGGCTATTACTACTATTACTACTACTACTACTACTACTACTACTACTACTACTGCTACTACTGCTACTGCTACCAGGCGACATACATAAACCTCTGATAAACCGCGCCAAGGCATCGTGTTCTGCAAGCCCACGTGCGGGGGCTGATGTGCCACAGCCACCGTGCCCTCCGCCGGCAGCGTCTGGAAAATTGAGCTGGGTGCCGCCGGGGCGGCGCCTTGCACAGCTTGCGCCGGGGGCTCCGGCGCAGGCAGTGCCTCGAAGAGTATTTGGTGCTTCTAGTGATGGCATGTCTCTGGTCCAGAAGAAGTGTATCCTCTGTCCTATAGAAGACACCCGCGTAACTGGTTTGCTCGTGACTGTTGGAAACCCTGATGTTGTGTTTGGGTCGGAGCAAGACAACCCGTAGAAGGACGACCATGACGACGGCGTCAACTCAATCTTTGACACGGCATTGCCACTTGAGAGCTTCCAACCTAAAAGCATGGGCTTTGCACATCAAACCCTGAAAGAAGGCCCCAAACTTGTTCAAACAACCACTAGCAAGTTAGAAGGAACTCCCATCACTCCTTAACCCTGTATCCCAAGAAGCCCACGACACCCACAAAACAGCCAGGGCACTGGTGCAGGTGCCTGTGGCGCCGTGTTCCATGCGTCCCACGCAGAGTGGGCCTCTTGCACCTCTGCGCGGTGTGTGCGTGTGCATAAGTGCAAGTGCAAGTGGAAGAGTAAGTGCAACTACACCACCTAACTGGTCTGACATGTGCAAGCAAAAGTACTGTCTGAGGTTTACAGTTTACAGTAATTGATCGGTATTTTAATCAGTTTCGAGTTCAAAGCTAGCATTGGAGTTATATGGTCAACCGTGGAGGTAAGAGCGATCACGGCGCCAAGCCCAGAATCTCATTCGTAGTCGTCATCACCCCCGGAGAATATCCGGCAACTAAGAAACTCCTTGATGTGAATTTCTTTCGAACAAGATCCCTCAACCTTCAACAAACACTGTCTCAACCCTGAGCAGGAACAACAAACCCTGAACCCGAAACTGCTTTGGTTCAACACCAGAGAAGCCGGAAGTAAGAATAGACAAACCATGGCGCTAAGCAAGCAACTATAACAGGGCAACAACAGTTCTGTGAAAACCAGCTACGTTAGAAATATCAATACTTGAAGGGAAGCGAGCTATTCTAATCTATGCTATAGAAAAAGGCATTGCCTTCGCCAGCTGCGGTGACGGCGCAGTGTCCCAGGGCCGTCGCTCCCCGCCCAAGGCTCCTGGATGCAGGCGTATGTTTTGTTGCAGCCCGTTGCACATGTTAAGTGCCAGGACGGTTTCACCATGAACACTGTAGAATTACATGTATACAAGGGCTGAGCCCCAGCTCAAGCTTCGCCAGAGCCGTGAACCTTGCCTTCTGGTGCGAGTGTGAAGGGTACTTTACGGTCTTCGGTTTCTCAGCGTTTGGGGCTTAGGGCTTCGGATTTCTGAAAGTTGGGGTTCAGGATAGAGCTCCCCACCATCACGTGAGGATCCTTGAAGAAAGTGTCCTGCGACTTGATGAAAGAAACTCGTCTTCGTCTTGTTCTGCTGTTCTTTTCTTCCCGGAAATCGTGTCCATAGGGCTCCTTCCTTGCTAGAACCTGTTGGAGGGGTATGATAGGTTGAGGAAAAATATTGCGGAATACTTCACAGCTTTGATGGGTCTTTGAGCTAGCGGCCAAGCAGTGCAAAATCGAATACACAAACCGATCCCACTCGAAACCCCAAGCTCGAACAGACACTAAACCCAGCCAAGAAGCACTAGGCATTTTGAAACCTACCAAGCGCTCCCCAACGTCGATAAACGAGCCGGGCTTGCTCGCCGGAGCCATGGCGAAGCCTCCGCTCCCCCGCCGAAGTCGCCCCAGAAGCTCGGCGGCCTACTGGGCTCCGCCAAAATTCGGCATGAAGCTTTGGAGTTTGAGGCTTTGCTTAAGCTTGGGGGTTCCGGGCTCAGAAGGTTTCAGCACTCACAACTAGACCAGCAAGCGAGGATCCGGGTACACGAGCGTTCAGAAGGTTTAGGGTTTAGGGAAGCTTGGGTTCCGGGTTCAGGGTTCCGGAGCCGGCCTGCTGGGCTTCACCCCAAAGGATCGGAGCAGGTTTTCTGCTCAGGGCGTAGGGTTAAGGGGTACAAAAAAAAGGGACCTCAAAGAGCAGAGGACTGATGCCCGAAAGCCGTGAAAGATCACACGACCCGTCAAAAGAAAGTGATGCCGGTGTGGAGCTCATTGTGAAATGCTGTTGTAGGCCCTTACACAGCTTGATAGAAGCTTTTCTGGTATTCGCTTAACACCGCGTGTAGAATCCCGTTCGACACCTGTACAGAACCCTTGTGAAACCCGTTGTGGGTTCAAGAGTCCATTCAAAAACCCGTATCAAGCCGTATAAACTCCCAGAACCCCACAACAACAAACAACAACGGGAAGCCGCGAGAGAAGCCTCGCTGCTCTGGTGGGCCAGGACCTCATCGAAGTTGAAGGGCGCCGTTTGTTGCTGACAGCTTGTGTTGTGGTGTTACTGACAGGTTCTGGTTCTTGCGTCGCTTCTGGTTGGGGGGAGGTTTAAATCTCTAGCACAGTGCCATGAAAGTCCTAAAGGGCCTGAGGCTTGGAAATTTCAGCTTCCGGATACCGACTTTATCCGCCCAAGGCTAGTCGCCCAAACGCCCTAAAATACGCTAAGAAACAGTAGTGAAAACAATAAGAAGACTAAACCAAACCATCAATCAACCAAATCAACACATATCACATCACATTACATTACACCTAACCAAATAAACCCCAACCAAGTCAACTAAAGTATCAGGACAAGTCAGATCAAATCACATCAAACCAAGCCAAGCCAAACCCAGCGAAATCAATACACGTAGCATCAAACCAAACAAACTCAAGTCAATCAAACAGTCGATTTCGATCAATGCATATATGAATGCACCATAAATACGTGAGAAGGGAATACTCGTAATCATAACAATATAACCCCTTTTAATGCCCTGAAAATCACAGAAAATCAGAGAAACCCCCCTCCACAAAGAAATCTGCTTTGGCGAAAACCCTGTGAATCCCTTCAAATGGTCCAAGGCACCCTCCAAGGAACCCTTCAAGGAACCTCAAAAAGAGCCCGTAAAACGAACCCTTTAGGGACCCCTTTAAGGGCTCCCTTAAGGGCTCCCTTAAGGGCCTCAAAGGAGTTACCCAGACCAGGGGGCCGCTTCCAGGAGGGGCGCCATGGGCATCCAGACATCCGGGGGCAGAACCGGGCCCTCCTTGTAGAGCCTCGGCTTCAGCTTTGGGTGTAGGGTTTGTTTTTTTTTTTTGAACGGCCCTTTTCCTCCTCGCAGTTGAGTGTAGGGTTTAGGGCCAGTTTTAGGGCTTTAGGCTTTGGGATTTAGGTTTTGGGCTTTAGGGTTTTAGGTGTAGGGTGTAGGCCTTAGGGTTTAAGGGTTTAAGGTTATAGGGTGTCAGGTTTAGGGTGTAGGGTTTAGGGCTTTGGGTCTTAAGTGTTGGGTTTTGGGTAGAAGTAGAGCCTCAAGGGAGTTTTGGCAAAGACTATATACCATCACCTAAAGATTGTTTTACTTACCGAGGCGCTCATGAGGAGCTAAGGAGCGAGAGGCTGGGGGCTTAAGGTTGCTTGGGTTTGGGGCTCTCGTGCCAAGGGTTAGCCTCAAGGCCTTCACGCCTCCAGGGACGTGCAGAGCCTCAGGGGTTGAGGCCCTTGGAAGATTTGGGGCTTTATTAGTAGTAGCATTGTTAGGACCATTGCTTGTATTATTAATGGTAGTGTTAGTATTAACGTAATTAGAGAATGTAACGCTAGGACTTCCGGTGAATTAGTAATGCCTCAGCCTGCTTGCTTCAGGTTTGGGGCATGTAGGCTTAAACAGTTACGGCCTCCTGATTGAGCTGAAGGACTTGCAAGCCCCAGAGCCCTGAAGATTTAGAACTTGAAAGAGCTTTGGGCTTCATGGTATGAAGTGCTCAAGGCTCCGCGTTCGAGCGTGAACCTTTAGGCTTCTAAAGCCATTCCTTCGGCTTGAAGAGGAGTGGGGTTTCGGGTTTAGGGATTCAGAGGAGTTCCTGCATGGATTCTGCCAGGCTCTCTTGGATGCTTGTAAGACTTACGCAAGTTGGCAACGATGTTGGTGCTTTTTGTGCAGGATTCAATTGGCTTAACAATTCTGATTGCCAATGTAGCCTCTCAACACTAACGACGTGCAGATTTTCGCCTCAACTATGCACAGTTTGGTCGAGCTCAACCCGAGCCCCCCACGCCGAAATCAGCCCTTAACCCACTCTGTAGGTCGGCTATGTTGGCCTCCTCTTTCTGTGTGTACATGTCTTCCAGCAGGCAAGGAAAACACTCAGAAGACTTACAAAACCATGTGGGGTGCTAAAGGTCACGAAGCTACAAAGTTCGTGAATCCGCAAGAAGCAGCATGTCTGTTGGAGGTTACTTACGAAAAAATTGGCTGCAGGGCGACAGCAGCAACAGCTGCGGCGCGGCAGCTGCAATGGCACCGCTGCCACTGGCGGCGATCGCCGCCAAAGACATGAGGCAGGTTCGGCACCTGGGTTGAAGCTTCGGGGATCACATGCAAAAAAGCAATGACCTTCATGAAGCGTATTAGGGTTTAGGGTTTTGGGCTGGGGGCTTGAGGTTTAGGGTGGAGGAGTCCTTAGTATGACTTATTTACATACAATCTCTGGATATCGCTTCATGGCAAGTCGTGGATGCCAGGAGGAGATGCTGAGTTTCAGTTCTCGCGTCTGAAGTGCAAAAGTAGCCCAAACCGTTAACATCCCAACGGCCGACCAGAAGAGAGCCTGGCTTACATTCTGACACCCTCAACGAAAGCCACAAAAAAGGTACTCGAGAGCCATATTAGCTCAAATCCCGAGGCCCTGAAGCTCGAAACCCAGCAACATCCTAAGTATGGAACCGAAGCTTTAAGCCTGCAAGCTCTGAGCCTACGGCCCTGAACTTGAGCCCCAAGCTACAACCCGAAGGAGTGCTGCAACACAGGGAATCTCTAAGTTCCCGAAGACTGGGTCATGAGATCCTTGTGGTTGAGAGGTGTTTCGGCCCCGGCTAAAAGCCACTCCCCACTCCCTGCACAGCCAGAGAGCAGCGTCTTCGAGTCGTACAGCTGGGCGTAGGAAACCAAGATGCCCCGCAACCTTGCTTTGCAGAGTCATTATACACCGGATTAGGCGACTCTTGGATTGAAAGCCTCGGGATACTCAAGTCTTGGGAATTGCGGCATAGCGGTTGGGACCCGGATACAAGCGTCCCAAACGCCCTACTAGCTATACCCTCCCGCATCCAAGCGGCAATGCATGGATTGGTGTTGGTAGATGCGAGGGCCAGCCAACACGCGTAGCCTCAGATTGGTGTCGACCCAAACCCGATCATCCCGGCGTTTGTTCCAACGTTCCAGGAAGCAGAAAGCCTCAATCCTATCTTCAAGGCATGTCTCAGCGCATGTCTACACAGAAGTCGAACAGCTTGAGGCAGCAAGCGATTCACGGATGCGCGGCCAGCTCGGCACGTGAAGACAAGCCTATAGCCTGTGGATAAACTTCCACGTTCTCAAAAACTTACCGTCGACCGATGCCCCGCACAAGGGGATTAATTCTTCAACCTTTACAAAGATCCCTGCTGCAATTTTATGTTAGCGGAGTCCTTGCTTAAAAGACGCTGGATTTGGACTTCCTGGTCCTGACACCCTTAAGAGCCAAAGCCAATATGCGCATGTATATCTAGAGGTGTATGTCTGTATGTATGTCTATGTATGTATGTATGCATGTGTGCATGTGTATGCACGTGTGTTTGTTTGTTTATATATACTTGTACATATATAATATTATAGTTATGTTGAGGACTATAGTGGAATACTGCTCCGACCCCTATATTGGGATGAAGGCACAGGGGGGTCAGGATCCTTGTACACTGAGGACTCTTACTTGGGATTTCTCCCCTACCTCATGCAATCCGTGGAGCACTTTGAAACTCCAAACGATGGATCCTAAACTCTGAACCCCAAAACCTGGAAACCCCCAAACCCCCAAACCCCCAATTTCAAGCCCTGCTGTGCCAGGCGTCATCTGGGGGCGGCTGCGGGGCCCAGAGACAGAGGCAGACCCAAAGAGTGGCCAGGCGATCCTGTGGGGGTGGCCAAACGGCGGTACCATCAAGAACCTGGGGCCTACCGGGTTTTCCCCCTCCCCAGGAGAGAATCGGTCTGGGCCCAAGAATCGAGGAGTCACAACTAAATCAGATCCCTTCCATTTTCGTAGGCTTACGAGCCCTAAACCCGAAACCGTTGCGAAATCAACCTCTGGGATCCCATGCTATCTGCTCTCTTTCTCGGTATGCTGTCTCCGGATTTACACTTCGATGCTGCACGGTTTATGCGTCAGAGACAGAGGGAGAGAGAGAGAGAGAGAAAAAAAAAAAAAAAAAAAAAAACCGAATAGAGTAACGGTTACAAACTACTACAAGGGTTACTACAAGGGCCTGTTCAAGTTTCCTTTCAGGATACTTGAAGGATGCTAGAAGGATGCGATAACCGTCGCTATAAAGGTGAATGTTGGTGCGACTGACTGGGTAGTTCACCTGAAACATGAAACCAAGCTGTAAACCCCCAAACCCGGAAACCCCTCGTCCCTACAGCATCCCGATAGCAACCCTTTAAATAAGCCTTGTAATGATATTAGAGCAATCTAGCCTTCTAGAAACCGTCCTAGAGCCCCAGAACCACACATGAACCGAATGCCCCGACGAAATCGAATACCCCTTGTCGAGTTTTTCTCCTATACCTACAGAACCTTTCTAAGACTCTGGTAGCTCTGGTAAAATCACAGAATCCTCAAGACCCTTAAGACACCCTGATTAGACCGTTATGCAATCCCTATAAATCTCAGAGTCCTTCTCCTGTGACAGATCCTGAAGTAGCTCTCGCAGAGTGTGTCCGCTTGGCGGAGCCTTGAGGAAGTAAAGCAGCCTCCGGAAAATGAAAGTGTCTTATACGCACTACACCGGGGAGTATAGGCTTTTGAAAGGTTTAATATCAGCGTTTCTGGCATTGAGGGGCTTAGTGCCTGCAGGGTCTTGGGTTCCGGGTTCAGGGTTTCAGGCATATGAATTCCCCCTCGGGTTGCAGAGATTTCGATTTGACTGCTTTGGGTACTGTTGCATCCTCGTTAAACCCTACACCTTACACGCTTATGCGGCCGTTATGTCTGCCTCAAATCCCTGGTCTATCTAACCCGAAGCGCCTTAATGCAGCCCTTTTGCAGCAGGCTTCCCTCGTCTCGAAAAAAGTGTAAACCGTGAACCCAAGCTGGAGTCTTTTTTGGGGGGAGCGCAAGCTTCGCGGAGTTCGAGACGCTTGTGACTTTCAGGTTTTTGCCGGGTTCAAGCAAGTAACCTTCACCGTTCGAGCTTGGGGTCCAGTGTCTAAGGTCTGGGGTTTATACCCGGTAGTGTCAGGGCTGAGGCATCATGATCATGATGCCCGGACAAGCTTGAGGAGGGAATCCGAGCACAGATCATGCTGAATCCATATCCCGAGCTGCTGAAGTTCACTGTAGATGGTTCGGGATCTGGTGATTCGGGCCAAGGGAAAGTTGCGCCACCCTGGGACCTGCTGTAACCTTATGCCCTCTCGGTTTTAGGGCTTGGGGCTCTGCATTCAAGGCTTGAAGCTGAACATGCAAATACAAAAGCCCAATAAGTGCCGCCTCCTGATCAGCGAAGGTTCTCACATGCGTCAGCTATAAGCAATGAGACTAGAGTCTACAATCGCTTTCTAGTGATGCCGCAGAAAGTCTGCTACGACCTTCCACATTCAAGGCTCGCAAACCCCTAAGCACCATGATGTATCCCTTAGCCCTAAAGCCGAAACCCTACATGCTGAACGAGCCCCTACTTGAGCTGAGGTTCTGCTGAAGATCCGGCGAGTGGTTGCTCGGATCGCGGCAAACCTCTCGAAGAAAGGCGCTCGACGGATGGAGGGCTCCACAGTACTCTGCACTTTCGGGATTCCGGGCTCTCCGCATGATGCGGTCCTAGGGGTCTTGTTGGGACTTCAACCTTACATATCGTTGTACCCCTAGCCTACAAGTTGTAGATAGGAGCCTACCAGCCGCCTGCAGCTAGGGCCCAACTGGACCTGAAGCCCTAACGCCTGATCCGTGGCCCCGAAATCCTAATTCTTCACAACTTTCATACCTGATATCCCAGATACCCGAAAGCCTCCATTCCTGATCATTCCTGAATCCTTCTCCCGAAGCCCCAGGCAGCCGCCTGCTCCAAAAGCAGTGTCAACAGCCAGGGCTCAGCTTCCGCTGGGCTCTTTGCCTCGGTGGTGAGTCAGTTGGAGTTTCTGAAAATTCGGGGTACCTTATTATGGGATATTATGGGGGGGTCCTTATTATTATGGGATATTATGGGGGGTCCTTATTATTATGGGATATTATGGGGGTCCTTATTATTATGGGATATTATGGGGGGTCCTTATTATTATGGGATATTATGGGGGGTCCTTATAATAAGGATCCGACTATTTAGGGTACTACTTGGGAGCTTCCGAAACTAGGGGACCCTAAAATAGCACCTCAAGCGGAGCTTTAGCGGAGCTTCGCCTGACTCCAGGCCCGAGGCCCAGAAAAACACCCTGATGTGCAATGAAAGCCCTACAAAACCTCTGAATAATTACCAACACTATTTAGGGGTTCCTTATTATAGTTATAGTATAATGGGCCTCAATATCGTACTAACCCTGCAAGAACCTCACAACATCCCAAAGAACTTTCACGAAAACCCTGTCAACCTCAAATGTCAAAACCACCAAAAGCCCCGAAGCCCTGGAAAGCAGGGATTCCCAGGCACCGCGAACTCCTGCCGCAGGAGCTCCTCGGCATGCGGCCGGGGGTTTGCCAGGGTTTTAAAGCTTTGTTTCACGCTTTGAGCGTTCCGTACGCGGGACGGCGTAGGGTTCAAGATTTAGGTAAGGTTTAAGTTAAGCATGAGGGGTTCCGGCGTTGGGCTCTCAACCTAGAAGCCTGAATTGACAGCAGCAGTATTCTTCGGATGTCCTATTCAGCTTAAAGTAGAAGATACCCCAAAACCACTATGAAGCCCCCTACACCCCAAACCAAAAACCCCGTTCACAGAACCCTTACAGAAGCCTTCCAGGAATCCCACTCTGCCCGTTTTGCCGACTCACCGAAGAAGGACCATAGCACCCTCAAAGGGATCCCTTGCATGACATGGGACATGTAAAGGGACCCTGTACTACTCTCATGGGACCCTTACAGGGAACCCTGTTGTAGAACCCCATGCCCTACTACTCTTATGGGACCCTTAACCGAACCCGCGTTAGGGGGACCAAGGCACGAGGCTTGGAAGCTTCGAGCTCGCCAAAGCGCTAGAGTCGGCGACCCAGGTGGCACAGCACCTGGGGCTTACCTTTAAAGGAACCTAGGAGCCCTTAAAGGAACCCTTCAGGGAACTCTTAAAGGATTTTCTTGAGGGAAGTCTTAAAGGAACCATTATTCATGGAACTCTTAAAGGACCCCTTGAGGGAACTAAGAGAAAAGGGTTCCTGTAAGCGGCTACTTTACACAGTGTTTCGATGTGGTAACTTACTAATATCTATATATATATATATATGTATATATGTATGTGCATATATACATATATATATATATGATATATGGATTCAGTAACATCGGGCCCTTCTTTATTCTTTGGTTTGGGTACATACAGTGAACTTACACTGAGGACCACCAGGGACTGTACAGTAAGCCCCATAAAGTTGGAAACCGGATTCAAGCCATATTAGTGCTGGGATTCCCCATACATTACTGTTAGGGATTGAAGCTACGGGGTTTCCAACTTTTGGGCTTCGACCATATTGCTACTTAGTGAAGCATGTATATCGCCTGAAGGTTCCTGGCTACTTGTAAACAAGGGTCGTTTCATGTGGTTTGGTATCTATGATGTAGAGCCTCTTGGCTAGCTACAAGCAGCCTACACCCCCAAAGCAATAGAGATCCAAGTAGTACTGCAGAAGAACTGATAGCAGCATTGCACCCGGGCTTCTGCATCTAAGCCGCCTGAAACTCTGAACCCCGAGACACCCAAACCCATTCAACACACTGGGTCCGCAGCTAAGGGCTAGCACTTCGCATAGCTAGACATGGCTGCCCCAAGTACTAAGGGAACAGGACAAAAGGACGCTACATCTGCGAGTTGAGACAATAGTGCCTGAGAGCAAAGGGGTAGGATTAAATGATTAATTCTTGGAAAATGCTCAAGCCCCATTATTGCCGGATTGAAGCCTCTATGCTGTCTTGGTATCCAGAAACTGAAAACTCTCGCCACCAACGTGTGCTGCGGCGCCTCACTAAAAGGTCACGCCGAGGTCTGGTTGAAGGCACCTCGGACGGCAAGGTTACAAACATCTCTCTAATTTGTTTGGACAGAGAGTCACCCTCGCGGGAATTAGAAGGGACTGCAATTCACAAGCCCTGAACCCCTAAATCCCTCAACCCAACCCGTATCACTCCACCCTAAAGTCCTACTTTATGTAGATCATATATGTATATATACATACACATTATTAGTATACATACATGTACATATATATATATGTATAACCTACAAGAATCCGCCCAATACGAAAACCAAAGACCGTGTAAAGCAACCAAAGAACTAAAACCCCAAAACCCGAAGCTCTCGTAGACTCTACATAAACCACTTAAACCCTAAAGGAACCCAATTCAGAGAAAACCCAATACAGAGACACCCCGTTTAAACCTGGGTGCGTCGAGCCAGATCTGCGTCAGCCACGCACGCACGGGCGAGGAAGGGACTCGGCGAAGATCCTCCGGGGGCGAATCGATTCCTTTTGCAGCGGCATTCTTGTCGGGGCTTTGGGGAAAAGGTAGGGCTTCCGGGTCTGGGGTTTGCGGCGCCTTCATGTTCGGGCTTCCGGGTTTTGCCGGGGTATGTTGCGGTATCAGAACATAAGGACTGCGGAGGGGGCCATTGACATCCTCTGCGAGCAATTTCTTCAAAGGCGTCAATAAGGCTGGACCTACTATGCTTTGTTGGGCCCCTCATTCCCTGTTTAGGACACCCCCAACTCAAACCCATGAATCCCAAAACCCTGCTTGAAACCCTGATAGTACTGAGTTCTCAACCTAACAGAGACCCTCGTAGACCCCAGAAGGAACTGTTGACGGGACCCTGGGCCCCTTCCCTTTAAGGATACTCTAAACAAAACACGCATCATGAGGACGGAAAGCCCCGAAAAAGTCTCTCAGGCCTTCTGCCTGGTTCGCTCCAAGAGCAGTTTCTGAAGCTTCGCTGCCTCCCCGACAAAGAAGCTTGTGACATTTGGGGTCTAGACTTCATGGGCTGAAATTAATAGTTAAGGGCTCGGTCAGGGATTTTGATGTATGTTTAGAAGGAGTGGGTTTTTAGGAGAAAAGGGTACATGCTCTCACAACTCGGACAACCCAGGCGAGGTTCCATAGGTGCGAGTCGGCGTGAAACTGGTACTGAAGACGACCTGTGATCTACTTACAAGCCCCGGACAGACCATGCAAAAACAGCCCACAAAGCTCTCACCAACAATAGACATCAAAAGTACTTAGAATCCATCAGGAGCACAGTTCATGTTGAAGGCACTGTGTTAAGTGCATCCAAGATTGGCTAGGGGGATACCCACCGTGACAGCAGCACGGGCTTAGGACATCGGGTTTAGAGCTGAGGATCTCATGCTTGGGGTCGACTGGTTTCCCATCACGGTGCCAGGGGTGAATTCCATCAGAAAAATAGAAGGCCAAGGATGCCCTTACTTCAGCCTTAGTGTGGCAACTTGGAGAACCTGCTTTTTGCATCCCGCACCTTTGTGATTGCTTTGAGTCTGCTTGACTGCCCCGCCTCAACCTGCGCGCTCCGGCCAAACGACTCCTGCGCAGCTTTGTGGGACACGGGTTTGGAGTTCAGGGTTCAGGGTTTGAAGTTTACGGGATCCCCATAAGCGGTCTCACATGACTCTACGTTCCAAGTCAGACAAGTGTCCAGACAAAAATCAGACTCCCGACTAGACGCAAGGTTAGCGTTCGGATTGTCTACGGGTTGGCTTGTCCCGCAGCAGATAGCAACATAAAACCGATGGAAGGGATTATTGATCCCGGGTCTACTTAGTAAAGCTCCAGATCCTAAACCGTCAGCCCTGAAACCCAAACCTTAAACTTCTGGGCCCTACCAAGCTCAGATCCCCAAAAATCGAACTGCAAATGCAGCACCTTGGTCTTCAGGAGGCTATGGAGGAAGGAGGACGCCCCCTCCACGTCCCCGTTCTCCTGGCAACATCCACATGTTGTTGGGGAACGGCCAGAAGGGGACAGTCAGCCCGGCCTCATCCTTACTTGGACATTCTGTAAATGGGGTCAACAATACAGATTATGGGGAGTAACGTAGGAAAAACTCAAGAAAGTAACTTGCCAAGAGGACCCTGCCGAAGGTTGGTTCGGGGAGGGCGGGTTTGCGTAGGGTCCGGGGAGTAGGACCTGGCATGAACGGCTTCTGATGTGGATCAACGGTGCAGAGATTAAGGGCGCCAGAGCCCAAGTACTGCGATGGCGACCGCAATGCCCCAAGCCTCAAACCATCAATCCCATACCCCACGTCGGCCCTACGTCCTAAACCTACACCCTGAACCCCAGCTCTCTCTCCGGAAACAGGTCGTAGACGTGGGACTTCTCGAACTGGGACACCATGATGCCGGGAAAAAGCCGCCTTGGCTCCGAGCAATGAAGCGCCCCAACCCGAGCTTGACATAGGCGCGTAGCGTTTCGGGGAATGTTACCTCATAGATACATCACCTATACCTATATCTACATTAGATAGACAGATAGATAATCAGACAAATTAAGTTAGATCGATAAATAGATGATTAAGCAAATAGACAGAGACCATAATGGAATGAGTATTGCTGCTCATACCGAACCTTTCTTTTTGGTCCTGTCGCCGAGACCTGCATGACAAGGGGGCTACCTGTTCTGGCTCATCACATGCCGCAGAAGAAGGCGTCTTCTTCAATTGCTTGGATTTGCCAGACCTTTTCAACACAGAGGCTTCGATATGCAGGAATTAAGGGCACATTGAAGTGCTTGTGCGGCTTCCCAGGAGATCCGACAGTCTATTCCAAGCTGGCATCCTCGAGAATACAAATCATGATTCAGAACCGCCCTACATCTACATAATCCCAAACAGCTAGCTACACAGCAGCCCGAAACAGCTGAAACAGGCCCGAAAGTTCAATTCCATTTTGGACTAGGCTGTCGAAACATTTCACATCCACGGGGCAGGAGCTCCGTCAGCACCTGCAGGCCCAACCTCGTGGGGCGAAACATTGGAATCAAGAGACCCTCGGAGAATAAAGAAAACTGAGGCCTGTGGTTCTGGGCTTCTCGGTTGCTTCGTCTGAAAGATGTGTAAGTCAGGTGGTATACGGGCACACTACGGCACTACGGCCGCCATGAACTTCGGGGTTTATGCGGGTTTAAGGTGTGCGATTCAGGGCTGTCTGGATGATAAGAACGCTCACGGATTATGGGCATAAGGCGTGCACCAGCATCTTCCAACCCCTGAGTCAGGCACCTGTGATTTCCGGAAGCTCCCATGTGTCTGCCGATTGGCAGCTCTGAACTTCATCGGATTCGTGAGAGCACAACATGCCGGAGAGCGGCATCGAAAGCTCCGCACCTACCCCCCCGGAACCGAACATCTACTTCGGGCGATGGTGTAGGATTTGAGGCTTCCACGGTTTAGGGCCAGGAACTTTGCACTTCAGGTCTACGGGATGAAAGGTCGGATCATTCAAGCCTATGTGGAATCCGGCGATATATCCCTCGACGCAAAAGAAAAATTTACAAACGAGCTTCTCGGCGTAAATCAGCCCAAGCTGAATACCCAACTCCTGTTGTCCCAAGGCGCGTGTGCGTCGCCGGCAGCTGAACGCGCAGATCGAGGACTCCCGACACACAGGCGCCCACGTCCTGCTGAGGTCCAGAGTTTAGGGGTTCATGATTGAGGATCCAGCGCTTCAGGTTCGAGCTTCGGGCGTGAGGTTGGGGTAGAGGAAGCCTCCGGAGCTACGGAAGGGGGGTACGAAGTAGACTCCTCCAAATATAATCCCGCTAAACCCTGAACCGTGAATCCTCACAAGCCCTGGAGCAGGTTAACCGGCGTCCAAGTGACAGAGGGGTTGAAAAAACTGCTATTCTGGGTTGCTCTAGAGCTTGTCAGGTGCGATCGAAGTTTGATAAGCGGCTTGGGTTTGGGGCTAGCTAGATCCCTGGGAATAATAGAGTTGCGCAGTTGTCCTCAGGACCCCGAACCCTCATGGCCATCTTGAATGACCACGGGCTTCCCGCGTTGAAAAGCTTTCAGAATTAAATTAGGTGTCCTCATACGGTGTGATATTAGGCTTAGGATTTCGGGAAGAAGGGCTTTCGAGAAAACCCAACGCCTCACTCTTGAGACAGCAAAGCTCGGGCCGCGCAAAAGACGGTCCTGAGGCCCGCAGCTGTGCACCTAACATCGGTGGTCTCCATGCCCTCGAGTCTAGATTATTTCTTACGGTTGAGGGCAGCAACTCTTCTTCTGTGCCCCGCCACATGCACGGACAGTATGCATGAAAGATCCTGATTGGGGATGCCCTAAGTCTGCATATGGGTCCGAGTAGTTTCAGACGTCTAGTCGGAGACTCTAGTGAGGTTATTGCAGTACACTTTAGGTTTAACAGCTAAATTGCTAATAGGCGCCGGGCAGCTGCTAGCTTCCAATCGCCATGCGTGACTGAGCTTGCCATGTAGGTCCTAAGCCCTGAGCCCTGCTAACTTTATCTTCGTACTTGCACGACCGATCCCTAAAACTAGCATGGGCTTCATGCTGCTTCGCTGTGGTTGTGCTGTGAAGTCCCCTGATGAGTCGGTCTAGCTTTCCTATGCTCCGGACAATCCTAAGAGGTCGCAAAATGCGCATGAATTACTGTAGGAACCCTCTCAAGCAACCGCCGCTTGTCCTTGGGGCCCTCAATGGGCGACAAAGGGATCCAACCCTTCCAACCTGGGATCCCTCCCAAAACTCCCAAGCCATGCAACCCTAAACCCAGAACCCTGAAACCTGGACTTCATGGATGCCGGCACCCCACTGGGAACCCTAAACCCAAAGGAGTACCCGCTCTGCGGCTGAAGTGCCAGCTCCATGGCTTCCCGCAGCTTGAGCTCTGGGGGCTTCCTTCCGGCTCTTTTTAAAGGATGTAGGGTTTCTTTTTTTTGCGCACCTTTCTCCGTCTGCGTTCACTGTCTACGTAGGGTTTGGGGCTTAAGGTTTAGGGTGTAGGATGTTTTTCAGGGTTCAGGGTTTGGGGCTTAAGTTCACAAGTTCTGGTTAAGGAACTTCTTTGATTAAGGAAGTTCCCTAAGGTACCACAACTTAAGGTCGTTATCTTGTAGTGACCGTAGTGACGTACGACACCTTAAAACCTACCGCAATTTCTAGCATGTCGGATGGCTTTAGGCCTCTCAGGCTATAGGGCTTCGATTTGCTTCGGGGTGCAGGGTTTAGTGTTTCTGCAAGGTTTGCGGATATGGGGTGAAAACTTCGCTGAGTTGGTTCGGCATGTTGAGCTAGAGTACTAGCCGAGGAGATCCTCACGAAAAAGGGAACCTATCTTGCAGGTAGTTCCATAAAAGCACTTGAAGGCCCCCGTTTGAATTCAATAACAATCCCCTTTTGAAAATGTGAACGCTTGTAAATAGCAGTCTAAATTTGGGGACCGGTATCTTGAACTGCGGCCACTGTCTTGCTCTCGGGCCTTGTTGTATTAGAGCTTGGGCTCGGGGGTTTCGGACAGCTACAGCCAGGGTTGCGGCTGGAAGGGAACGTGTTTTGAAGCCTGTGCAGCCCCTGAACCAAGCCGGAAATCGCCCAAAAAACCAAACAAGCCAAAGGGCCCTTGAAGAAGCCTATAAACCAAGAACAAAACCAAGCAGAAAAACACCCCAATTCGAAGCGCATCCGCGGCGCGTCTCGAGAAGCAGGCGCCTCAGGCGCTGTGCCGCATAGCTCCCTGGCGGCTTCCCGGCGGCGGAAACACTCCCACGGACACACCCGATTCGCGAACCCTAAAACCCTCCTCAAAGAAGCAAGAAAAATCAGCCCCATCCAAGGCCCAACACCCCTAGATTACCAAAAGATGAAGACCAAAGCCCCAAAAAAAAAAACTACCCCGAAGCCTTCAGAAGCAAACAAGCAAAAGCCCTTGAAATGTCTCTCAAAATTAAAGCACCGGAGGTCCCAAAGCCCCGAAAAGGTGCCTCCGACTGCCGGGCCTGGCACCTTTCAGCAGGGCATCGTTGGGTTCTCGGGGTTTTGGGGTGCCTGGTAGTTTAGGGTTTAGGGTTTTTTTTGGGGGTTTAGGTTTTACGCTCTCACAACTCGGACACAGCTGCGAGGAGGGCTTAGGGTTTAGGGTTTAGGGGTTTAGGGTTTAGGGTTTTGGGGTTGTATAGGCGTTCCATAACAGCTTTCAAAGTCTCTTATATGATGCGATGGGGTGAGGAACCATCATAAGGCTTGTAGGGCTGAGTACAAGGGTTTGTGAGGGCGCTGTAGCGATTGATTAAAGCTGAGGATGACTTGCAGGATCACGGGACTTAGTATGTAGGGCATAAGTAAGGCCATAATGCCACAAGCACTCTGAGTGGAGTTGCTCTGGACTTATGACCCTGTTCCGAACTTCCAATTGAGCAGGGTTTACTAGGACCGTGCTCGAGTATTTAACCTACTCTGAGCATCCCTCTGTTGACACAAGAACCAGAAATACAAATGCTAGGATCCAGGCAGGCCAAGGGCTTAGAGCTTCCACACGTTTACCCCAAGAGACCTACCTCTTTAAGGACACATATAGGGAAACTGTGTTGCTTCTGGCTCAGGTTGTGAAGAAGGTACAGACTGACGTACTCTGTTGGGACCTGGACGACCCTCAGAGAAAAAGTCTCAGTGTTGGAGATTCAGCAACGCACTCTCGGACAAACCTTAGCGAGGAAGGATTTGGGTGTCAGTGCGTGTTGTTGTGGCGTTTGGGGGCTGCAGTGCACATGCCCTCGTGCCCAGCATGACGCACTCCTGCATTGCTGAACTCTTGTGACATTCGACTCGCTTCGACTCGCACACTCGCTCACGCAGGCACGGCTTCTGAGGTCTCCTCGACTCGTTTAGGGGTTTTGAGGTTCAGGTGTCAGCAAACCCTAAACGTTCAACCGTATAACTTGCTCCCGGCGGATAGCTGAAAGCTCAACTTCAGGCCCTGAACACCGTTTTCGCCAGGACCCTACACATACCAACACCGTTTTACGGTTTGGGGTTCAGGGTTTAGACCACCAACATCAGAACACCCAAAAGGCCAAAGCTCCCAAAGCCATTACACCAGGGTAACCTTTGATCTGCAGAGTACACACTTTCGGGAGAATGTTTTGTGTCTCCAGGCTGTAGATCCTAAATCATGCCGCCCAGGCCACTGTGTGAAATCCCTGAGGATTGCCTCGGCTGTCACGGGAGAGCTTGGGCTTAACCATCGAGCCACTCCGGTCGTAAACATTGCAAAAATGAACGAGCGTGGCAGTTCCTCGTCTTTATCCAAGGAACCTGATCTTTAAAGGTGCTGGGGCCTTTTGGGGGAACGCAAGCCTGAAGCCAAACCCAAAATAAGAAACAAAACCCAAACCCAGTGACTAAGCTCCAAGCTCTCAACACTTCACACCCCATGACCAAAAGGTAAACCAAAAACAACCATCTGCGCTCCCATGAGACCAGTAGAACTCCTATGTGGATCCACTCAATATCATCAACATCTCGAAGCAACCAAGCACCCAAACGCCTGATACATCCCAAACCCCTCAGTCTCAAAAACCCGTGAACCCCCAAACCCCGAATCCTGCACGCGAAGCCAGGGACCCTAAACCCCCCTGTCTGGTCCGAACCGAATAACTAGTAATTCCAAATCATTCCAAATCCAAGGAACCGAAGCCCCTCACTGGCGCATGGCTGGCAAACGGCCCTGTGACCACCGCTGCCATGCCTCCGGCTTCTAGAAGGCACAAGAAACCATTCATAACAACAATCACAACAATAATACTAATGAAGATGAACAAAAGCAAATAAGCATAAAATCATGAGAAGAAGAAGAAGAAAAGAAATGCAACAATGCGAATCCTAATAATCATTCTACTACTAACGCTTGCTAATGCCAATACCAATACCCATACTGACATTGATGATAATACCTATGATTCTATAATAGAAATCGTAAGAGTAAGAGTATATTACAAATAGAAATAGGGAGAGTAAGCGTACAAGTGAAATTAATGCTGATGATACATCTCGAAGTTGTTGAGGGGTGAGAACCTGCGTTCGCACAGAACCTAAACTTGACCTCATCATCTCATTGGCGAGAAGATGCTTTTCGAAGTTGGGTTCTGAATCCCCTACCAGGCGCCCCCAGCTATGGCAGAGGCATTAGAAGGAATAAGGTCAATTGGGGATGCCTTATAGAGGGTCACGAACAGAAGGGTCCACCTCCTCATAAAGTCTACACTCTACATTCCGAGCCGTTATCAAAGGCGTCAGCATCCAATAAAAGGGCTTCCCGAGCGCTTGAGTAAGATGGAAGGCTGATATCCTACAATCCCTGCTAGTCGTAGGTCTTGAGGAGCGACCAGCTATTTGTGTGAGGTATGGCAGTGTACAGCTTAGGAGTGTGCGTTTCGGGTGGAGAACTTAGTCGGAGCCTCGTGAGGCTTTCAAAGATGCTCCTTCATTGAGAGTGTGGAGTTTCTGGAAAGCCTTGGTCCTTGGAGGTTTGGGCCGCTGCAGCCAGGGTTCTACAGGAACCCCTAAACCAATAGTACGGAGCTTGAGAAACCATAAGAGCACTAGTCGCAAAGTCCACCAAGCCTCAAAATCGCCAGACCATACAACACCCTTGCGCCTCTGGTGGATGAGAGACCGCAGCGGCGGTTCACGAGCACATTTGCCCACTTCAGCAGGGATAGAGGGTCTTGGGGCTTGGGTTTAAGGGCTTGGGGGCTTGGGTCTAGGCTTTGGGGCTTGGGCATCTGTACCTTTCTGGCTTTGTAGTAAAGGGCGTAGGGCTTCCCGGGTGTGACACCTTACCAAACATCCCACTACAGCCTGCTGTCATAGAGCCATTCCTTATCATTCCTTACAAGATAAGCCAGAACGGCGGCGCAGCAACGAGGCCAATCTTTGAGCGGGTTCAGGTCTGGGGCAAAATGCCGTCGGCTTGAGGCTTGGGGTTTAGTGCTTTAAGAACTGCAGGGCGGTAGGGCTTGATGGCCTAGAAACAGTCTGTAGCCGAACGACAAACACATGCTCCAGTCCTCCAATGTCCCAAACCTCCCAAACCGTAGGCACTCCTAAATTCCGCGAAATCTCCTAAACCCTTAACCCCTGACCCGAAACCAGAAATCCCTAAATGCCAACATCACCGGTCATTACCCGAAAACCCCTAAGCCACCCCTCTCCGCCGGAGCCCCCGAGGCCCCCGGCGCGGCGAGGAGAAAACGCCAGATGCTAAAGCCCAGGGGATTCGAAGCACGAAGCCTTAGGGGGCATCGGAAGGGTCTTGGGAGTTTATTCTCTCGCCCCTTTTTCGGAAAAGTGTAGGGAATCCTCTTGGTTCAGGGTCTCTTGAGGCTTACACTGGGACCGTGCCGGGCCAGGTCTGCAGACGAGACGGCCGGATGATCGCACAGGAAGAAGCACCGGCTTTCGTAGTGCATGCTTGTTGTCAACTGTGGCGACCCGGTAACCCGCACCCATACCCTAGGTGGTCTACAAACAAATTAACAAAGCCTTTGAAACATGCATCCCGACAGGAGCAGCGCAACATCGGTCGGCGAACTCAAGCAGTGCATCGTCACCACTTCTGGTTGAGGGTTTAGAGTAAAGGGCCTTAAGCATAAGACTGGGGCTTCGGGGCACATGTGATTGTACCTATATTGTGATGTATATCACGGAATTCTAAGACTGCTGATTTTTCCAAATTAAGCTTCAGGTCTTTGTGTTGAGGGTTTAGGGTCTTGCCTTGATTTTGGAACTTGACATACGGACATTCCGGTGTGTATTCCAGTTTAGCTAGTACAAGCACTACGAATTGTTCAGACCTGGATCTAGAGGGCGTTTCGGGGCTGAGATGCTTTAGTCGCTGAGTGGGGAGGGCACACGTTCCATGTTCATGTCTCCCAAAGCTGTATACGCGCATAAACCGCTGAAGCGGTGGCCCCCGGCCTCCTGCTCCTCCTCCTCCTCCTCAGACTAGCCAATACGAGGACGCCCAAGCACCAGAATCTCACGGATAAAGGGTGTACAGAAAGACAGAAGACAAATCGAAGGCATGTAGCAGTGCCATCACACACACTTCTCGCAGTCATGCTCCTCATCTACCACCATTAGCAACAACATTGACCCATCATGGCCATCGCCATCTGCATCCTTCTCCTCACGGTTGACATCTTTGGCTTTGTCAGAGAATTACAGAAACCTCCTGGCAGTAGGGGTGGGGAAGTAGAAGTGGGAGTTTAGGTCCCCCTGCCGTTCTAGATCCTAAAACCTCATCCCAAGGCTCTTGCAGCACCCCGCCGAAAAGCATATGCTCTTCACTGGACCCCCCCTACAATAATTTGACAAACTTCCAAGCACTTAGCAACCGGAAATCCCGACCCCATACAAACCTCAATCCATGTTTTCCGCGAAAGATTGCGCGGGGGTCTGTTGGCAGCCGCGCTAGCTCAGATCCGGCATCGCCCCGCTTTGCCTCGAGCTCTTTGCAAGCGTTTAGGCTTGAGAAGTGCCTTCTTGATGAGGGGAAGGAAAGGACGGAGGTTAAGGGTTTTGGTGATTTAAGTTTAAGGGCTTTCCTATTCTACTAGGATTCCACAGCGTTTGCAATGAATGATTTTAATTGGGGGCTACATGGTCTTCATTGGGTGTTGCATGGTGTTGCAGGGTATGTGCCGGTGTGACTCGGAGGGCCGCGACGGTACGTGGCTTCGTTCTCAGACTGTCAGGGGTCTTGGACTTAGAAGCTAGTTAAAAGCCTAGGCTTGAGTCGAGTTCATGGTGCTGACGCTGATGCTGCTGATGAAATCGTGTAACCGTGCAACTGCCACACTCACATTGCTTGTGCTCGTGCTTCCAGTTGTTCGGGTATGAGCGCCGATCACACATGGCCCTGAAGATGAGAGGGCAGTGACGATGATGGCAGAAGCCGAGGCGATGCCGATCGTGATGGTGGAGATAGTGACAACGATCGTCACGGTGATGACCATGTTGATGGTGATGATGGTGGTGCTAATGCTGATACTGATGCTGACGATGACGATGACGATGATGATGATGGTGCCACGACCTATGGATAGTCAGATGATGGTGCTGGTGCTGGTGATGCTGGTGGCGGTGGTAGTCGTCATGGTGAAGAAAGCCAGAGACTGTCACACCCTAAACCCTAGGGTCCAAAGTTCAATCCCACCGGCCAACCCCTGAAGCCTAAAGGCCCGAACGTGACGAGTATGAAACCATATCGCCAAATGCAAGAGAACAGGATCCCTTTAAATGCTGACTGACTGAAAATCACAATGTGTGTCAAAGCCAACTTTCCGTCAAGCGGCCCCTTCCCCAGGCTCTGCCCAAGTTCGCTCAGCTCCTCGGCGAACTGCGCTGGTGGGACCAAGTCGGTGGCCCCGTAGAGGACCTCTGGAGGTTTCGGGTCAGGGACAGCGGCTCCTTGGGTTTTTGGTTTTGGGTTTCTTCAAGGCTTGTGCATGGTTTCTTGGGGTTTCGCAAGGCTGCACAGGGTTTCTTTCGGGCTTTTACACGGTTCATGATATGGCCTAAAAAGTTTTTTACAAAGGGGCTTGACGAGCTAGGGAATCAAACAGATTGGAATTTCGTGGGGTTTATACTTCAAGTCCGATGCTGCATCTGCCGCATGGCGTCACTTCGTGAGCAGCCATGAACTTCCCGTCTGTCTGTACACAGACCTGCTCTTTTGAAAAGCAGGCGTTGCAGACAGCCCAATACCCGATAACTTAGCAGCATTCCTCATCGTAGCAGTACTCCTCATATACTATGTAGCGTCTCTTACTATGCGATATTCGGGTATCGGGCTCTCCGGCTTCGTGGTGGGAACCGTCTGAAGCCGCTATGGGCCGGAAACTCTGCCCGAGCCATGGCCTTCTCCAATGCAACTTCGCAGGAGAGCCATGAAACTGAAAACAGCTTCGGCTATCGCCACAAAGATACTGAGAACGACCAGACGAACCACCCACGGTCAGGGTCGAGTCTGGCTAGGTTTACGAAATTACCACGCAAACTAGTCTTTGAGAAGCACTTCGCAAGCACAGCTCAACTCACAATGCTGTTGAACGATCCTGGTTCGCTGGAATGATGGAAACAAAGGCTCCTCTTATGGAGGCTTGGTTTGCCATGTTATGGAACCCAATCCACAATACGCGTAAAAAGGATACCTAAACCCCAAGACCCTAACACCAAGCGTCGGCTGTGTCCCGCAGAGGTTCTTGCGGGCAGCCGCCCGGCAGGAAGTGACCTCCCCGAAGACGGGGTCTCCAGCCTTGCTCAGCTGGCTTAAACGTCTGGGAATGTCGATTCGTGGTGTAGGGCTTACGAGGATATGAGCGGCTGGCTAACCTCGCAGACTAATGCGAAGCTGCAAGTTACAAGAACTTCCACACAAAATCAAAGCTCGGCATTGAAGAATATAATGTAGTGTAATACAATATGATTTATTATTATATAGTGTAATATAGCATAACAGAATGTAGCATAATATATCGTAGCATCATATTCAAGATACAATGCAAGACAATGTAAGCTACTACCTAACATTCCATCAGTGTAATATCAGATAACATGAGCCGAGCGTCATCGATGCTGCCCATCAGGCCTTGGTCGTTATCTGTGCCAGACGCTTCCTGGGTTGTAGTTTTGGGGCTCTGAGAAGTATTTATGAATAGGTACCTCTATAGGAACCATAAGGGAAATTAAAAAGTTTCCCAAATTGCCACCTAGCTTCACAGGCACAGATTGTGGGGCAAAAGTCGCCGGCCTTTCCTTGGCAGCAAGTGGCAGGGCACAGGGTGCTCAAGGGCGCCCAAAGCTGCGAGTGTCCGGAGCAGAAGTCTCTCTGCGTCAGCTCTTCAACTTCGTAGCTCGTGTTGCTCAGTGCTGAGCAACCATGGCTCAACATATGGGCTCTCACCTCTTCCAGCTGACCAATCTTCGATTGATTCTGCTCCCCCATGAAACTCGAGACGATGTGAGGGTACTCTTCCCAGAAGGCCTTCCAAGCCGTGGAGCCTGTTGTAACATCAGTGCAGCTCTGATCGCCGATTGCGTGCCTCATTTCACCAAGACAATTGCTGGAACATCCCCTTTCCTGCACGCGGAACCACGGGTTCGTACCGGCCTCGGCACAGCCACATGTGATGCCACAGCTCAAACGCAACAGCTCCCCGTTCTCATCGTCGCAGTGCTCTTTCATGTCCTGACATGTACTTTCCTGCGGGAAGCCGAGCCCAGGCGCTGTGTTCCACCAGTAAGGTTCGTAGTTACCCGCATTTGGCTGTCCATGAATGTAGTATTGGTCAAAATCAGTACAGTGCATGATGCGCGCCGCGGCTGCAGACATGAGTTCAGTTCGCTTGATCTCAAAATCCCTTGCAACCTGTGATATCAGGACGTAGTTGGAAGACAAGGAGTCGTCTCCTCGAAAGGCCAGGTCCCGGACTGCAATCTCGATTAGACTGACATTCCGGTCCGCGCCAAAGTTAGTCGTCTCTCGACCAATCGTGATGCCTTGGTTAGAGTTGATACCGACAACGAAATCCTGGTTCCCACCACAGAGGGTGGCATTCACCTCCAACATGTGGTTGGCAAGCGGCTCCACCAAGTAGAACCAAGGCCACAACATCAGTCCGCACATGATGAGAAGCAGCAACACTGCCTCGATTTGGCTCCTCCTGCGGGTGTAGTTGATCTTGATGGCCTCCAGGTCTTGAATTTTGATCTGAATCTTCTTCGGCATCAGCGCCGCGAAAAACATCTCATCGACATCCAGAACAGCCCCCAAGGCCACTGCGTTCAGCATCAGGTCGGTGATCGACGTGGTATTTGCAAGCCACAGAATCCCAGCATACAGCAGGAGGCCAGCGATCACTCCCCGGGTAATCCGGGCCAGGCAGTAGAGCGCGAAGCGAAGGTACGAAATTGTGGCAAAGCGTCCGTGATCGAAGGTCGTGTACGCACGACGTGGAATCTGTAATACTGCCTCGAGAGACAAGCCGATGGCTCGAAATTCATTGCAGAGGTAGAGGCACCACATGAGAATGCAGAGCATGCAGAGCAGAATTCCAAGACTCACATTGAACCTGTCTTCTTCAACGGTCAGAGCCAAAAGGAATCAAGTCTCGCTACATAGATACAAAACACATGAAAAACAAAAACACTGAACCCTTTCAAAAATCCTCATATAGAACCCTCGTAGAGGGTCCCAGAGAATCTTCTCATTGGCTCAACGAGGCGCGGCTTCAGCAGGCCAAGGAAAGTATCGATCTCGTCAAGCAGGGTCGCTTGACTTGTCGACACGATGAGGGAGACGTCCTTGATTCGTTTTAAGAAGGGTTCATTTAGCTTCTCCGAAAGACACTCCGCTACGGGGCTCAAATAAGGCTAAAGTTGCTTGTAACAGAGAAGGGGTGCAGAACTACTGCAATTATACTGGGGATCCCAAAAACAAATACTATTCATGATTACTAATTACTCAGGCTTGAGTGGAAACCAGGTTGCCTAATGTGACCGTGATTAGGGCCGATGCGACCTTTGCTTTAACACAAACCCATTTGCTGCACCCTATGCAACCCTACCTGTGGTGCCCATAAAGGCCCCTGACCTAGTTGTTGGTAGTCCTTGTTGCAGACGCGCGATACCAGGCTGGTCTGCGCCAAGTCCATGTGCCTGTAATCGTGGGCAACACCAACCCTCCACCTGGGCTCGTTATGGATACAGTACCTTCAGCTACCCGAGAATGCTCTGTGGTCAAGAGATTATTGAAATTCAAGTCCTCAAGCAGGGCCCGGCCACTTCTCCACATTCTGAATGTGGTTTTCAAACGGCTCTCCAAGGAAGTCGGGAGACAGCAGAATTATGCTGAATGCGATTTGCAAGCCCCCGCTGACAATCAACAGCAGGCAAGCAATAATGATGTCCAGCCAGCCGGCATCCGTGAAGCCCATGACCAATACAAGGTTCCATGTTGACTCCAAGAAAGCCACAGGCTCCAACGGAACCCAGGCCACGCACTCATCTTCCGGATCCTTCGGACCTTCCCATTTCGGCGCAAACTCAGACCAGGCCGATCCGGCGGGTTGGCCAACGGGCACGACGTCTGCCACTGGCTTTTCGGCGATGCCTCCCGGAAGCTCAGCATCCCCAACGTCCACAGAAACCTGAGTGGTGAGTGGTTGGCTTAGAGGGTCCGACAAGTTAACTAGTCAGGAATAGGTACACACATTGCCATCCGTAATCTAGCCCTAGACTTCAACTGTAAATACTAGTTAGGAAGAGGTACACGCATTGCCACCTCGTAATTAAGCCCGAGACTTCAACGGTAAATTTATCCCGAACCCTGAACCCCTGTATCCGCAAACCCATTCAGAACCCCGAAGTCGTAGGCCTTACGCCCCAGATGCCCTGAACCCTTACGATAATCCTAGGTACCCATTTTGTAACCCGAGTAGAACCCTGATGGTGCCCTCCGACAAATCAAAGGCCGCCTCGAAACCTGCTCTTGCGCGCCTTGTCCGCCTGGCGTTCTCCTGGGCTTCTCTCCGCGGAGTAAGAGCACCTCCGTCTCGAGGTGCTGCACTCTCCTGGGTGGCTTAGGCTTTCTTTAAGCCTTCCCTTCTGCTCAGAGGCTCCTTCAGGGTTGGTGCTCCTGAGCTCCTGGGTCAACAGCTTTGGGCTTTGTGATCTTGATGGATTTCGGGTTGAAGGCTCAAGGGTAATTCACCCTGGTTGCCCCCGCCGGCCAACCATTCCCACGGAGGCCCCCTGTTTGCCCCGAACACCCAGCAATAGTCTGATAGTTTGCGTAGGCAAGAACACCCAGCAATAGTCTGATAGTTTGAGTAGGCAGTCAGTTTGATGCAAAGGTTCTGTCTGATATGTCGTTTGCTACCAGTCTCAAGACTAAACGATACCAAAATTTGAAACCTCGCTTCAAGAACTGCATCTTCGCTTCTTCTCAAGAAAATAGTCGAGTCTACGACGGCTCACAACTCTTCTCAAGAACCGGCCTAGTCTCGTGAGGCACTGGCCTAGCGCCCTCTGCAGTTCCACGCGGAACTCCTCACGGAGTCGCTGTTCCAAGGTCCAGATCTTCTTCTCCAGCTTGGCTGCAGACATGGCTCTTCGAAGCACAGGCCCAAAGAGCTCAAACCTCTAGTTCGCGAACTATGAAATCGTGATCAGAAAACCGGTGTAACTCAAGGAGTCTTGCTTAGCTAGAAGGGCGCTGGGCCCTCTCGGCGCAAGAGTATCATGATGAAGAGGAAAACCCTGAGCCGTGGGTGTGCTGCTGGTGCTCGAGCTCGATATCAAATGATCACAGCAAAGTACCTAAGAAAAACGATACGACCTGCCACAGCAGAAACTCTAATGATCGAATCACGATGACAGCCAAGCGAACCTAAAAGCAGATAGGATGCAATGCTACTGACAGGTTACAGTTGGCGTGGCAACAATCCCAACCATCGCTGGGATGTAAACCGGCAAGACACCGACGATAAGTGACAAGACCAAAACCTATAGTATGAAACAAATGATAGCAAGTCCAACAGCCACAGCAGCGGCGACATCGAGACTGATGGCAGCCGTAGAAACAGGGTGCTAGCAACAGGTGCCACCACTGCTCTGCCAATAGTATCTTAGTATACGCGGGAAGCAGCAACAAATGGGCTAACGAACGATGACAGTGACGCTACCATTCCAGGGTGGAGTATGAGAGCTACAGTGGGAGCAGAAACAGAAGGTTCAACTGCAGGAACTCCACTCAAACACAATACACTCCGTCTTCAACCAACAACCTGAATTCCTGAAGCCCCGGTCTCCCAAACTCCTCGTGATTTGCGAAACAAAACCAGTCTTGGAAGATAGTGGCGGTCCTAGCTGAGGGATCTTTCGATTCTCGGGGAAATAATAATCAATAATCCGTTCCCGCCGTACATCCCAAAACCCGAGTCCTGAAGTCCTCAACCTTCCCGATCCCAAAAAAAGCACGTTTACAGAAGCCGCCAAGTAGCCCCTAGCCAAAAGTCTAACTCTTGAAGCATCTGTTTAAAGACCCGAAACATGCACTGCATTAGATACGTCCCAACCAAAGCCTACTTGCGGGTGGGCTGTTAAGTGCATGCATTCAAGCATTCTTTCTAAGGCGGGCGTACAGCATTCCTTCTGAGGCGTACGTACACACACCCATACCCTGAGCCCCAAACGAAAACCAAAACCCTAAAGGCCCTAAACCATCCTAAACCCTAACGAACAAACGCCTGAATTGCACTGGCCTGCCGACCCGTAGTTGTAGCCCAGTCCTCCGAGGATGCTCCAAGGGTGGGTCGAAGAAGTGGGCTCTTGGATGCGCGAGCTTAGGGTTTGAAGTAAAAGCCAGGAAGTTGGAATATGATTATCCTAAACCCTTTATGGTAAATTATAAGGTATCCTACCCTGAAACCATATTCCAACTTTCTGGAGTTCCCTTTAAAGCCTCGGGCATGGGAAAGCAGGCACGGGTCTTGGGTTTCGGCGCTCACACTCGGACAATCCTGGCGAGGCATGTGCTTCGAGGTCTGTTGAGTGAGACTGCAAACTTTTCGGGGGTGCGGGGGTTAGCGTCGAGGAGTTCAGCACCCTTGCTGAACTCAACTATGGGGCGATGCAGGCTTCTACAATGTTGCACATGGAGCTGTTCTGGAAGTTGTGCTTGTGCTTGTCTCCGAAAAATCTAACCTACAGAAACCGTACTGCTAAGCCGACTTGCCAATCAGTACTGTGGCTCCTAAACCCTAGAATCACAACGCTAAACCCTCCTAAACTGCACTAACGCAGTCCCTGCGTCACTGTTGAAGGCACATGTCGCTCCTGTATTCTAAAGCAGTTCGGGCTTAAGGTTACTGTGTGTGGGGGCCTGGCCGCCTGGCCCAAGTGGCTGGTGTCTCGATGACATGGCCGTGAACCCGACATCCTAAGCTACATGAGTTGAGGGTTGGCAGTGCGGTGCGATAGGTTTTGCACGACGCAGCATTCCAAAAATCGCTCAAAGTTTTTAGAAATATGGGTCTGGGGGACGGGGTTGTGATGTCGAGGTTCTTGAGGCGGGGAATTCTTGAGTGCCCAATCTAAGCTTAAGCCTCAACCCTACTTGTTCGAAAGGGGCTCAGCCAGCAGGGCTAAAACCGGCACTTTGCATTCGGTAGCCTTGACTACAATCTTGCTTAACCCTATCCATTACGCCCCGGAGCGGACTCAGCAGCCCCAAATCACTTTATCCTGAACCCTGAACTTCTCGGCCTAAGCCCTCACAGCCCTGAACCCTAAACCCTAAACCCAGCATACTAGGCCCGATGCCTGAACTCCGAGACCCGTACTTGGAGGGGCAGGGGACTTAGTAAGTAGGTTATAAGTAGGGTTATGATTGGGGTACCTCCATTTAGGACACTTATACCTCTACTTATAACCTACTTACTAAGTCCCCTGCCCTTCCAAGTAGCACCCTTCATCCGAAGCCCAAAATCCGCTAAACCCACAAAGAAGCAGAACAACAAGGCAAAATCGATGACAACTAAGAAAAAAACGATAACAACAAATTGAATCCTAAGATAATAAAAAATGGAAACCTCACAAAAAAATGAAACCTAAGATAACAAAAGTTGAACCCGAAGTAGATAACAAGACTTGCACCCTAAGATAAGAAACATTGAAACCTAAGTAGATAACAAAAACTGCACCCTAAGAACCAAGAAAAAAAACTCCGAAGATCCCTGGCCCCCGTGCATCGCGGCACCTGGAGCGCCTGATGCTCCACGTAGTTTCCGCCGCCGACGACCTGATTTCGTTCGGGGGCTTCGGGGGCACCTTATTCTGAAGGTCCTGATTATAAGGGTTTAGGGTTTAGGGTTTAGGGTTTAGGGTTTAGGGTTTAGGGTTTAGGGTTTAGGGTTTAGGGTTTAGGGTTTAGGGTTTAGGGTTTAGGGTTTAGGGTTTAGGGTTTAGGGCCTACTACTACAGGGCTGCTTGGGAACAGGATGCTCGAGGAGGTTTAACTGTAATTTTTCAGGATTTCGCGGAGCTCGGAGGGTCAACAGCAACTCTGAAAGACCCTGAACCCTAGACCCGAAACTGCTGAGCCTAAACTGATAAGCCTGAAAACCCCAAACCCTCAGATCAAACAGCCCTAACCTCAATCCCCAAATCCCTGAACCGCGAGCCCCCTAACACAAACGCACATGGAACCCCTCCAGACTATGAAAACCCCCAAAAAAAACCGGTGCTTGAATACAGTCCAGCGGCAAAAGCCACCGCGCGGCGGAAAGGCGCTCGTATTCCTGTTTAAGCCAAGCTTCGCTCTTGGAGCTGCCTAGCTTATGGGTGGCTTTCTAGACTCGGGTCCCATTTTAGGTCCCCAGAATAGTACGGCACCCTTATAATACAGACCCTGAAAGGGACCCTAATTTAGAGAACTACCCTTATGGCCTTTTGGGTTCTTCGAAGGAGCCTGCAGAATAAGAACCAAGTCTTTTGGACCTAGATGGAGAATTCCGAATACTCTGCACATTCCAGGCAGTGTCGATTTTCGAGTCAAGGGTGTCCAATCCCTAAAGGAAAAATGAATTGGATGTTGCCCAAAGATTCTGGTGCATGTACGTCGTCAGATGCTACTGCCTTCAGTTCTAGCATTATGTGCTATGAGGAAGATGATGGCTATCCCGACTAATTGTGATAAAGTTTGCCCCTATATCCCCTAGATCAGTAAGAGAGCAAGGTCGCTTGATCATGATTATAGTCCAAAGGCTCTAGAGTACCTGTTAAGGTGCATGGGAAATATTCGGGGGCGTCCGCACCCTGAACCCTCAAAACTCTACATCCCTGAAACCTGAAAACGCTATACCCAAATCCTTTTCTTGAACCCAGGTCTCTGACGCTCGCGCGAAACACCAACGAATCTGCCCAAAACCCTTAAACCCAAAGGCCCTTTGCCACCCAAAGCCCTGAGAACCCTCACAAAAGCAGAGGAAGTCAGAGAGGCCGATACCTGGACCTCTTAAAGGGATTCTAGGGTTTTCGGTTTAAGGTCTATCCGAGGTGCAAATTTGGGATATTCAGGACAGTGCTGAGCCATCGAGTAACACCCTAAACCCTACTGAAGTTGAACCGCAAACCGAAACACCCTAAGTTTAGAGCTTCAGCTCGAAACGGAAACAAAGGGATCGTAACACACGGGCCTGCGAAATAGGGTGCTGGTGTACATTTTGCATACTCCTGATATGAGGACCATATGACCATATTGCCTAAACCCTACACCCCAAACCCCCAAATGGGACCGCCATAGGCCAGGTTGCGTGGCACATCCGCACCCCGCGCCGTCGCCGGCGCCTTTCCCAGTTGCCGGGTTCGGGCTGCGGTTTGTTTAGGGTTGTGGGTTTATTTTCCCTCTCGCATGGCTGGAAATTAAAGTCCGCTCGCGAGGTCTGATGGGTTTAAGGTTTAGGGTTTAGGGTTTCGGGTTTTTGGGGTTTAAGCTTTAGGCTTTTTTTCCCTCTTGCTAAGGAGTGAGGGCTAAGGGCTTGGAGCTCAGGGTTTAGAGTATAAAGTTCCGACTCAGGCAGGATGTTGTTTCTTTAAGTGCAATGGCCCTCTTTCTGTCACAAGTGGGATGGTTTAGGCCTTGGGTTTGGGGTTTTGGTTGAGGCTGCACGAAGTGACTGCTACCCACTCTTGAGGGTAGCCTTGGCTAACTTTATGAGGGTAACCAGGCATTACGCGTCTGCTGAGGGATCTCGACCCCAGAGCGAGAAAACCGGCGGCCAAAGCGCCGACAGCGTGAGACAAAGGCACCCAGTGAACCCAAGGGCTTTGGGTTTATCCTCTCGCAACTCGGACTCCGCCAGACGAGGTCTTGTGTTCGAAGTGCTTTGACGATTGCTGACAATCAGTTGTGCACCACAGTGGGCAGCGAACAAAGGGTTTCAGGAATCTGGAAGCGACCACACCTGAACCCAAGCTCATGAAGACCTAGAGTTCAACAGTTACAGCAAACTCCCAAGCCCTAAACCGCAAGACCCCAAAAAAAGCCCAAGCCCCCAAACCCTAAGCTCTTAAACTCAGAATCCCCAAACCCTGACCCCCTGGCC